CTCTTCCGGGCCTCGTACCGTCCAATTTGCGCCCGGAATTTTAACATATCGACTTCCTCCCTGTTCCACGAAATGACTTTTCGGCCGTTAACGCGAGGCTAGTACGTACGAGCTAACAGTGTATTTGGTGCATGAAGAGTGAAAGATAAAGAGCATGTTTGTGATCGAAACGCATTCGTGTGTTGGAGCAGCTGTTACGATTGGGGCACGCGTCCCAACGGTCGCAGCAGCTGCCCAGAAAATTATGTATAGTACCCTCGACTGGAGTTCTTTTACGATGCTCACGTGACAAAGTCTCGCGTATCTTTTACGTTTACGACGAGTATTCCATTCGAGGAAAGAGTCATAGATTTCGCGAATAAATTTTCCCCGCGAACAGTCGATAATGGATTATTTTGTTCCAGCAATTTTCCCACTATTTTCTCCGTCGTTTTACCATAATTGCTTCGTGATTCGTTTACCTGTTGCTTTTCAAGCGATTAGAAAAATGTGAAAATTTATTCCCAGTGTCTGTTCCGTTTCGAGGGACTCCTGAGCATGCATACACTCGTTCGATAAATTCTTTGAGAGACATTCGAGGTATGTTATTGGAGATAATAGAGGAAACGAAGGATTGTAGAGAGTGGTTTAAACTAGCGAAATTAATATGGAGCGGGTTTTAAAATTTAAATGTCGCGGCGATGGAGCAATGAGGGGAATACTGCAAAGGCCGTATAAATTCCTTAACATACTATCGAGGGTAGCAGTGACATAGAAAACGTTGGAAGGAACGTACTATAGGTGACAGGGCCCCCACCCTCGGATGCGACACCAGGTTCGTATTATGTGAACCCTCTGACAACCCCTCAGGTAATACTTCGCACATACACACGGCCATGCACTGGAAACGCTCGGAGAAACGCCCTTCGTACATCTGCTCTTGAGGGAACTCATGTGGCAGTTTGTTGGAAGCAACCGTAGTGCACGGATCGAACGCATTTGAGCATTGGACTTTGCCCCGATGGACTCGTGAACTCTTCGTGGTCGAACGTTGCGGACGTAGCGAGGCGAATTTTTCACCAGCCATCTACCTGCCGTGTTTTACACCTATTCGGGAACTGGGTAAAACGTTTGAATCTTCGAAGAACCGTTTGAAGGCGTAATCGTCGTGCAAGGGGACGCAAGATCGAGGATAAACCGCGAGGAAATTATCGGAAAGCGAGTGGAATTCGAAGAAAATGTGCAAGGTACGCTACATTCCCGCGCAAGAGATCATCTCGCCACCTATGCGAACGGTAACCTTCTCGCTGGAAACTTGGACATCACCCTCCTACGTCAGCACCACTTTGCTGATCCTCGTGAGAAAGAAGAGCGAATCGTGAGTGGAAGGAAGGGAATCTCGAAATTCGTCGTCGAATAATGGACCCTGCGAGGAGCTGTAAATACGCGTGACGAACATCTCGCGCGTCTCGATAAAAGCCTGGTTCGTTTACGTCTCGTGTGACACGCGACTAGCAAGACAGTGTATGCCTGGTGTCTAACGGAACGTGTGCACGAGCGAAAGAGTCACGCTCTAAAGACATTAATGAAAATTGAAGGAGCGATCCGTTAGGTGAAACGAAGCGATAAAAGGATGGCCCAAATGTCGGAACCAGCTCCGGTGCATTGTTACACCAACCCTTCGTTTTGCCGCCAATCCGAGTACATACCCGAGGACCAAACTGGTGGCGATCTGCCACCGCCACCTCAGTTTCAAAGCGGCGACGATCTGCCGCCACCGCCGCCGCCATTGCAATTGCAATGCAACGGTGGTCAAAGTAATCCCGCGTTCCAAGAACCCGCAGAGGGCGGGATAGAAAAATGCGAGAGCAGAGAGAGATACTGCTACCTCGAGAACAACGGGAATCCTACGCACCGAAGATATGGAAGCCTGCCAGTTGAAGAACAACGCGCGATATATAATCAAAGTTCAAGGTACGAGTACATACAGGACGAGCAGAGGGGTCAGATACAGAGGAGGGGTTCCTCGAGGTACGAGTTCATTCCGTATCAGCAGGTGCAACAACGTTCCGCACCGGCGACCAACCAAGACGACGGACGGGAGCTGCAGATGCAAAGTTGTCGGAACAACGGTGGACGATACGCCGTTGTACCGGGTGATCAGGATTACCGAGACGAAGAAACCGCGTGGAATACCGTGAAACATGCGTCGACCACGCGCAGGCACATTACCACGCCGCAGGGTAAGTTAGCCAGATTAATTGCCGATAAAATCTCAAGTTTCTATGCGTTCTTCTCCGTGACCGCGGTAATAAAACTGCAACGTGTTACTAGGTCGTTATACCAGAGTACCTTTGCAAGAAGAAGACCCTCCAGCTCTACCGGAACGAAACGTCCACGAGCTGTCGGTCTCCCCGAGAAATAACTTGGCCACGCAAAAACTGCACGAGATATTGACCACTCCCAGAAAGCCTCGATCTAGATCCGAGGAGAGGACCCTGTCTCCAAAGAGGCACCACTCGTTCAATCAAACCGGTACGCCACAAAGAAGAGCACTCACTCCAGGTGGCTCCCCGACCGGTACGCGTGCCTTTGACAAATACTCATTTTGCGCGACTGCGCCTCGTACGATCCCCGACTTTTTCCGAAATACCACGTAGCATATAAGAATTTGCATTTTACGGAGATACAGGTCGAACGTTTAGTCCTACCCGTTCTACGCCTCAAGGAACACCGCAGAATCGTACATTCACGGGGCCTCAAATGTCCACCCCGAACAAAGAGCCATCAGCGCGGAGATGTCTACCGTTATTGGAAAACCCGTCTCGGCAGCAGGATGTCTGCCCGGCCAGCAACTGTGGAAGACTACGATACGTTGGCACGGCTCCGGTCGACCTTGTGACGATGGGTCATGGTGACCCGCCGCCACGTTACGCATACATGGAAAATGGACCAGAATCTATGCCGATGGTGTCCGGTTCGCCCAGGTATCAAGTGATACCCGCAGGACAGAAAAGAAACGGGTACCAAAGCGTGGAAAGTGCCTTCATCGCTAGAACCGCTGTGGTGAGTAAAATACATTCTCGATTGCGTAATCGAGCAGAGTAGAGTACGACACGATGATCCAATGCTGCGCCTCGTTTATCTAGGTTCCACCATTGTCGCCACCGAATAGCGACGCGAACACAACCTTGGCCAGCGTTGTGGAGAAGAACGACAGACGAAGCGCACCGTTGCTGTTGGTGTTGGTCGGTATCTTGACCTGCGGTTTAGCGCTCTACCTATCTTGGACGCAGGGCAGGAGGTAATAACACGCGAACAAAATCCCCGTAGCTGTTGTCAAACGCTAAACAGGTCGGCATTCGTTTCCAGGTACTATTACGACAGTGCGGCCGGTTGCGGGGCCTGTTGTGCCCTGGCCGGTGCCTGCAGGACGCTGAGGAAGACTTGGACAGGACTCGGACTCGCGGGACTATCGGCACTCAGCTGCGTGGGACTTTTGCTGCTCGCTGCCAAGTCTCCCAAACCTGGAACCCCTCTTCACGATGTCACTGCTGGCGCCTTGTGCGGGGTTTCCCTGCTGGGCGCTGTTCTCGCGCTGGTGGCCCTTCTCTCCCCGAGGTGCAACTTGAGTAGACACAGAAGGGTGCACTCTTGGATACCTCGACTTTCGCCCTGAGCACCCGAACCGAATCGATATCCCGATCGAAACGCCTATTCTCGAAACTCATTGGTTAGAAATAATTACGGCCGAGGGCGCTGATTGAAATTATTTTTACGCAAGAACGTTGTCTGATGGAACAACATCGAAATCCTAGTCCGCTGTTTCGTCGAGAGTACGAATTATCATATGCGAGTAGTATAGAAAGATTATTACGTAAGGATCTAAGATTATGCCGTAACGTTACCTCGTGTGGAATAAATTTATCATACGTGCTCGTCACGATTACTCAAGTACGACTCTTTGTATTTTTCTAAGCCACTGTATATTTTCTATCGATTTTCAAATAAAAATTTCCACTACGAATTTCCGATAAACCGTGTGTTCATCCTGCGTGTGCGTGTACCTATCTCGACACGTCCGTTTCAGTTGGACGTCCATGTACGTGTATCACCGACACGTTACAAACACCGGATACGCTCCTTATCGCAGATTCACCAGTAGGAAGTCCAGTTCCTCTTCGCCTCGCAGAATCTCGCTTTTTAAGTTTCGATGAGTTTATACGTTCGACGTTCGATGTTCATTCCGCGACAGATGCATTAACGATGCAGCAACGGGATAGAAGTTTCTCGTGGTAGTCCCTATGCGGAGGTGACAGTGTCGAAGAAGTTGTCCTGTTTGATATTAAGGAACGTAGTCTGGAATTTTCGCCTCGCTAAACAAAAATATGACATAATCGACTGGAGCAGGACGATTCACGATGAAGGTATTAGCGGTCTTATTTTTCGTGTCGCGAATTCTACTCGTCTCTTCAAGCTTGGTCGTCTTGAGGGGCAAAGAAGAAATTTTCAGATACACTCACAGTAGTAGAAAATTAATGTGCGTATCGGAGGATGACGGTAGTGGCTTGATATGGAATAGTAATTTAAATTGGGCGTACAGTTCATACGAATTCTCCGACAGAGGCGGGGACACTGGTGAGTTTCTAAGCAATTTCTGAACCACTCGTTCAACGAAAAGAAAATTCGAAAGACGTCGCTTTAAAGTACCCGGAATGCACGTACATTGCAGCCTTTCAGTTTCTCAACGCTTACCAAAAAAGGGAAATCGATTGCGACCTAAACTCGCACGACAGTTGCATGTCGGCATGGAAGGTTGCAGGCTGGAACCTGACCAACTCCGAAGAGACACCGATGGGTCCTGTGTATGATCGTCGATGGGAAGGTTTGGTCCGATAGTTTCCAAGGAAGTTAGTTAAGTGCGAAACTTAAATTAACGATTCAGCTTTTAGACTTCAGGGAGTACAACAACTTTGGCGGACTGAACGAGTATCGTCCGATTGGAAAACTAAAGAAATCGGGAGCTTTCGTAGTCTCTATCCGTGGGGCGACTGACGCTCACGTATTGTTGTGTGACGCGGAATACTATGAAAATGACTCTTGTTACTGGATCATCATCGGAGGCTGGACTAACACGAAATCTGCAATCCGGAAGTGCGTGAACGGCGTACCGGCTCCGATGCTTTTTCCCATCTATCCCACCTGTAGTCAAATCAGGGCTTCTTACAACGTAATTTCATTCTATTTATATTTATAGAATGAAATGATTAAGAGAAAATAATGTAATCGTAAATAATACAGTCCGAAGCACTTTCCCCGACTGAGTGGAGAACGTTTATTCTCGTTTGGAACGAAAACCTACAAACCATAGCGGTTTATGATTCAGAAAAGACGCTGATGACGTACAAGGACAACGATAAGCGACTGCGAAACGAGAGTTCTTATTATAATTTATTTTTAAGGAGCACCAAGACTATGCTTTTTCGATTTCACCTATGTAAGTCATTCGCACTGTGCAGTTTCATCAGAGTCGATCGTTAGATCCATAGAAATGATCCAAGATCGCGTTACTCCATTTCAGACAGTTTCCTTCACACGACTGACGTGGAGGCAACTTTGCTAAGTCCCGTCTTACATATCAACAACATGAATCTTTGCATAGAAATGGTGGTCGGTCTATGCGCGGAATGTCAAATAAGAGTAGCACTGGTCGACCCAGTCGACGAAAACAACGGGGAAAGTTTGGAAATAATAAAACGATCTACGGTAGTTGCTGCCCATGGATTACCCACGTGGCAATACGTTCGAATCAATAAAACCGTGTCGTCGAACTTTGAGAAAATGGCAAGAATTAAACTGATCCCTAGACTCGAGCAGCAAACACTCGACCCACTGTGGGCTGTGGCGAATGTTCGCGTGTGCCCCCCAGTAGGTACGTCTACGTGAAATCAGCGATGATGATTAGACGAACGAAACTACAACGGTAAGGATTGATCCCTGATCATCGCGATGCCTTATTTACAGGCACGATGCGATACGGCATCATGGAAGCTACGCAAGACTACTACTACAGCAACTACGTCTGGCCAAACGTGACATGTCAGAAACTGTCTCACAACGGGAGCATTGTCGTAGACTCTACACGCGATGCGACGATAAATTCAGAGTTCGGTAATGTTTCATATTTCCGTCGTTCGTCCCTTCAAGATCGATATAGAAACTTTATGGGTTTATTCCTAGATGACATGGATTGTCCCGAAGGGAGAGTGGGACCTTACTGTTCCGTGAGCTGCTACAAAGACTTGGAAAACAGCGTCGACTGCAGGGGAACGGTGATTTGCAGCACCAGGGGCTGCACGTGTCCACCAGGGTTCCTTGGAAAGGATTGCCGCTCTAGTAAAGATCTTATACGTCGTAATGGGAAGCAGCAACGAGGGTGACAATTTTGATTGACAGATTTTACTTGCAGACTGCGAGGTCGGCATGTACGGATACAATTGCAAGGGAACCTGTGGCTCGTGTTACGTAGATAATTGCAGCTTCACGACAGGCCAATGTAAATCTGGCTGCGACAGCGCTAACAGATACTACATACCACCCTTTTGTAAAATAGGTAAAAGATCGACATTCGCGATATGAAAACGCGGTATAAGTTTATTTGACAAATCTTCTTAAAGCCATCGACATCCCACCACCGCCCATCATCGATTTCATTAACGAAACCACTGTTCGCGCGAGTCTCCCGGTGAAAGAGGAATACAGATTGATACCTTCTGCTTATCAGTTCGTTATATGGGTAATTGAAATACTTTCGACGCGATGTTGCACAATTTCAGAACGAGTAGCTCGTATCTCGATCGTGTAAAAAGATACTATATTTTTTCACTAGAAAGAGGGAGAAACTGCTTTCAACCGAGTTGGAAACTACGTGAAGATATTCGGTAATGTCTCAACGATGGTTGGATATATAGATCATTTAGAACCTGGCATTTCTTACAGAATTTCTTGCATACTATACGTTAACAATGATCGTATACCTATACACGGTGAATGGAAGAATTTCACAACTCGTTGCACTAGTGAGTTATCACTGCATTTGATATATTCATCAACAAATACCGGTTTAACGATGCATAGTAAATGACGAAACTTTTCAGGTACTACCAACTTCCAGATAGAAATAAAGAATACTAGTCTAACGTTGGAGATGGGTCAAGGAGTGGTACGTAATTAATTGGTAACCATGTACTCTGCCGATCGAGAATGGCAAACGTTATCGATTTCCAGGCGGATTTGTATTCGTGTCCAAGTGGTTGGTACGATTTCGTGTTCGAATCCGTGGAAACCAGTAGCCAGATCAGCAAAGGAAGACTGACCAAACTGCCATACGAATTTACATCGCTGACACCTTTCACTGTTTATAAAATCACAATTAGCAAAGGAGTAGCAATTATATTTTCGCGAGAGGTTCGAACTCTCGACAGTGGTAATTATACCTCTTTCGGCCAATCTCGGTAATCTTATGTTCTCTGAGGTGTCTGTTTACGTTCGCAGTGCCAACGCGTGTACAAAATCTCAGAGCCATACTGGTATCGAACAAGGAAGTCGCAGTGAAATGGGATCCACCGTTACACGTATACAGGAACAAACCGAAATACGAAGTTGCACTGAAGGTAATCAAATATCTAATCGAGTGCAATTAAAAATCTCATCAGCAACGCCGTGATATCTTTCAAGGTGAAGACGTATTACGGCTGCAAAAGTCTGAAGGTTCAACCTCCGAAGAAAGATGTCGTCTCTGTCTCCACCGCGCTGAACAGTATCAACTTCCCAAATTTAACTCCTTACACGAGTTACACAGTGAAAGTCGTACCTTACACTTCATATCGTGGACCAGAAACGCAAACTGATTTCACCGTCGATCAGACAGGTAAACGAAACTTAGATCCCTCTCGCGTTCAACATTTTCGTCTCAACGTTTCTTTTCCGAGGACAACGAGAATCTGGTACTTTCAGAAATACCAACTGCCGTGTACAGTGATTTAAAATTTCAAAATTACACGCTGTCGTGGGACCCGCCGAGGGACTGCACCACGATTTCTGGGCCCATTATCGCGAAGATCGTCATCACCGGTATGAGCAAAGCTGTGGCGAATTTCAGCACCGTGAAGCAAACTATGAAGTACTCCCTTAATCTCATCAACATACTGCACGGTGTCGAAACGTACGAAGCACGAGTGTACGCGATCAGAAATTACAATAGAATGCACAACGAGTTTCGTTACGAGAAGCTTGTGTTTACCACTCCTCCGAAAGGTTAGATTATTGCGAGAATCCGTTTAAGAAAATCTTCGAGAAAACTACTCCCATCGACTAATAAATGGAAACCGATTTGCAACAGCCCCGCCTCCCGTGAGGAACCTCGATATCTACGAAATCGACTCGAAAACCATGAACGTGTATTTAAGATGGCTAGAACCAGAACCACCGGTGAACGGAGAAATACAACATTACGTAGTCAGCAGTTGTTATTCGAGTTGCAAAGTCGTACTGAAGATACGGGCAACGGAGTATTGCAAACTGTGGGATAAATACGTGTGTGCAAGTGTTAAAGATCAACCGGGAAATTTATTAACGGTAGGCAAAAATGACATCTATTGTCTAAACGAGGCGCTTCGTGAGTATCCGATTATCGAGAAATATCCTTCAGGTTTCAGCCATGAATGTAAACGTGTCAAAGCCTAGTGCCGAATTATCGGTGCCGGTTATTTCAAGCGCAGCGGAGCCACAGGCGCCAGAGATCTTCGTCGCCGAGGCCCTTGAAAATGGGGTGGTAAACCTGACCTGGTCCCATCCTTGGAAGACGGGCGGACGTCTACAGAAATTCGTGATAAGTACAGAAATGGTATCGTCGCGGCTCAGAACGAAGATTCAACGATCGCAACGAGGCTCGATTTACGCATACCCGATCACGGAATACCAATTACGGTACAGAGAGCAATTGTACCTATTGTCCTCGTCCACGTACCAAATCTCCATCCGAGCTGTGACGAATACGGATATATATAGCAAAAAGAAAATCGTAGATGTACAGACTCCTTTATCCATGGGATTCGAGGGGGAACTGAGAATGGAAGTATGCAACGAGGACTCGACGATCTTGTTACGCATTCCTACCGTTCTGAACGAGACGAAAACCAGCGTGACGAACGTGGTTATACAGGGACCACGAGATTGTCAGAATTACACGGAATTGAACCCCTATCTGCGCGAGAAAGTGGGTATCAAGTATAACGAGACCGCTTGGTCAGCCGCCATGTTTCCCGTGAGTATTCGAATATTTTACGGCTTTCTCGCCTGCACGGAAGGCGTCGTACGCGAGATTGTATCTAAAAGTGCTTTTTATCCAACAAACTTTCACCCTCGCGACAGACCAACATGTACGCCGGTAAAACGTTCACAATAGGCGATAACAAGCTTTACGGTAGCGGCACGAATTGTCCGCTAAAGCCAACCGAGTCCTACGTAATAGCGGTGATTGTGTTAAGCGAAGAAGGATGGATGGACGGTGAGATTATGGTCATGAAAACAACATCGATTCATATCGGCGAAATACCGAGGCGACACGACGAGGCGTGGATCATTCCCATTGCGATACTTCTTGTCGCCGTGACCGTGGTGTTTTTCATCTGTCGAAGGTAAAGTCCGCTTCTCTTTCGCCGTTTCTCACCGAATCAGAATACGGAAATTGGAACCGGTCGTTCATTTCGCAGGAAACGCAGAGGATTTCTGGAGAAGATCGTTCCGCACGAAGAAATGTCTCTGGCGTTCAACAACGAAAATCTCGATGCAAAGTCGAACTCGTCTAGTGTTAAACAAATTGCAACCACTGCACCTACCTCGACCGAGAAAGAGCTGCCATCGCGTGGAAGCACACCTCACGACAATGGCACGATATGCACGAATGATACTAATCAAACGAAAGAACGAATGCCTCCGGTAAAGGTGAAGGACTTCGAGGATTACGTGAAGCAAGCGATCGATTCTGGATTGCTCGATAGACAGTACAGCGTAAGTGCCTCGATACTTTGAGAAATTATAATTTACACCGAATGTAACGCGTTTCGTAACGACACCTTTAACATTGCGTAAAAGACGCTGCCGAGAGGACAAACGAAACCATGGGAATGTGGGAAATTGCCGCAAAACAAACTGAAGAATCGATATGCCAACCTCATAGCGTGTACGTAAACTATCCCTCGTAGAATTTCAGGATATTTGCCAAACGCTAATATCGTTGATATTGATATCCGGCAGACGATGAAAATCGCGTGACACTGGAAAAACTTCCGGACGATCCCTATTCGGACTACATTAACGCGAATTACATCAAGGTAATCGATCGTGATGGAACACGAAAATGATTCGAATTAGCAAACAAATTTGACCAATAATCAGTGAAATTTTTACAACAGGGGTATAAGAAGGAGAAATTCTACATAGCCACGCAAGGACCAAAGGCCAATACGATCGTTGACTTTTGGAGAATGATCTGGCAAGAAGAAAGCTGCATTATCTGCATGGTTGCGAATTTGACCGAGGGCGGGAAGGTAGGGATTAATTCAAAAATGGAAAGACCGCTCGGTTGACGGATAACGTTGAAATGTGTACAGGCAAAGTGCGAACAATATTGGCCAGATATCGGGAAAAAGAAGAAGTATGGCGATATAACCGTTCTGAACGCAAGACACACCGTTTTCGCAGATTTCACGTTTCGTACTTTACACGTGACGTATGGCGACGAAGCTCGTAAGGTAGCAACGATTAAGATCGATGACGGTTCGTATCTCGGTTCGAAATTTTCTGAAACGCTGTTTAAAAATTAGATCGAGCACTTGCATTACACAGCATGGCCGGACCATGGCGTGCCGTTGTTCACGCATTCGGTGGTAACGTATTTAAAGAAAGTCTTGGCAACACCACCCGGAAATGGACCAGTGGTGGTGCATTGCAGCGCAGGCGTTGGTAGAACTGGAACTATAATCTTATGCGACATTTGCCTTCGACGAGCCGCTGCGGAAGGGGTAAAATATTTTTTTTTAAATATCCATCAGCTCCTCGTAAACGATGCAATGTGTTTTAAAAATATTTCCAGGTCGTGGACGTTTTCTCCGAAACGCAGGCGATCAGAAGCCAAAGGGCTAATATGGTGGACAACAAGCAACAATATCTGTTGGCACATTTAACGCTCTTGGAATGCCTGCTCTCTGTCCCGACATCTTTACCTTGCAACGATCTCCTGCCGATAAAGATCAAGGAGATGAAGAAACAACTGACGATTCAACGAGACAGGTATCTTTCGGCGAATCTCTGGAATATTTGAATATTCGGTTAACAAAATTCGAAGGAAACGTGCACGAAAATTAATTAAAAAATATGTAAAAAAGTTTAGAAAAAATGACCTGGCAAGACGAAGCTCTCCGACCACCGATCAGTCAAACGTCGCTATCTGAACGCAACCTTGCTAAAAACAGGTTTCCAGAATTAGTCTCAGGTTTGAAATAATTTTATTGCCCTCTATACCGCTTCGTAGTATCCCTGCAAGTGCAATAACGCAACAACTTATTCGCAGCGAAAGTCAGCAGAACGTATTTAAAAAGATATCCGCCGACAGATGAGGACAGCGATTACATATCCGCTGTTTACGTGGACGGTGTAAGGTTGCAGAATCAGTATATAGCGACACAGTTACCAATGCCTGAGACGTTTAGCGATTTCTGGAGAATGGTGGCCGAATATAAAGTGGAATTAATCATCTCGCTGCAACCACCGGATTTAAACGACGCGGTATCTTTCCAACGTGTCGACGATACATTTTCACGATAACGAAGGGTGATAACGAATCGTACTCAAATAAATCTTTCTCTAGACGTGCTGTTCCATGGTCCCAGCTGGGGAATTTAAACCGGTACCATATATGAACGTTCGAGCGAAAGAACTTACCGATTTTACGCACTACACGTCGCAGAGGCTGATACTCGAGAATAATTCCGAGGTAAACGTATCGAATTTGCGTGGAAATAAAGCGTGTTGACCTTTGCGTTATTTCAGAAACCCGCCACTGAACGGCAGGTAACGATTTTGTCCTCCACGGAATGGAAAGCTGGCAGAAATCAAGATCCACCTGCGGACGTATCATTAGTGACATTATGGCAAGCAGCGGAGAAAATTTCGAGAGGAGACGGACCTATCGTTGTTCTGTGCCAGTAAGATTACATCGAGACTTCAGAAATATCTTTATACAAATCGGAGGATTATCAAGAAATATTTCAAGCAAAATGTTTGTTTACAATTAGCGATGGCGTAACTGGCTGTGGACTCTACTTAGCTTTAAGTTTTCTTTTGGAAAAAATGACTATAGAAAGGGAATGCGACGTTGTCCTAGCGATTCGTGCGATTAAACGATCGAGACACGATTTTGTCAAATCTCTGGTAATTTCGATTGAAATTATTCCAACAAGCTTTTAAAACATACGTTACATTCGCGATTCGGAGAATATAATATGCCTTTTCGTTTCAGGAACACATGGAATATCTGTACGATGCAGCCATAACCTATTTGAAGTACTTCGAGACTTATGCAAATTTCACATGAATAATCTTGTCATTAATCGAACATTGACGGTTCGATTTGTTACATAAATCGACTCGAGTAATTTCAACGAGCTTGCGATCGTGACTGTTTTCCTAACACGTGTATCGTTCAAACTATAAATTATGTTACATAATTGCTTAATACTAAAATTCCCTATTCTCGATTTTCATACTTTTCCTTGCTTTCGTTTGCCCAAGGCAAACGACTTTCGTTCTCACGAATCCCATCGTGATACGCCGTAATGTATGCATCAATGGCCTCGTCGTAGTATGATTCCACCCATACTACAGTCTAGCACGTACCCTTCGTACAAAGAAACATCTTCCCCTCGTTAAATAATCGTAATCACTGTTGATGGGAATATAAAGGTTTCATCGGGATATTAAAACATCGATCTCGACGGATACACGTTCATCTAAAAGAAAAGCGATAAATAATAATTATTAGAAAAGTACTTACTGAATTCGTAGAGCGAAGTCACGTGACACGAGAAGCCGGCGCACTGCGATGCGCAGCGTGCGTAAATGTCGACAAATCGAGAATGCCGGTGACGCCATCACTCGTGTTTTCGCGCCAAATTTCAGCATGCCGAGTCGTGCTCTTCCCGCGATGTTACGACACCAATGAGCACGATATTCGAACTGAATGCTAAAATGAGAGCAACTTGATTGATTTTCTACTTGAAAAATCGTGTTTACGGCATCGTATCGAAGAAAAATAACGCTCGATACCGCAAACGTCAACCTTGACAATGTGCATAATCTGTGAATAAAAAACAACGTTACAAACAACTTACATTTTGCGCAGAATGTATCGAATTTTCCACAGGTTCAGGAAATATGGTCGATTCCTTCGTATCGGCGGTAGTATCAGATAACCGATACGTCGTGTA